TTTTCTTTTTCTTTTTCTTTTTCTTTTTCTTTTTCTTTTTCATTTTCAATGTATTTCCCCAAACCCCATTAACCAAAAAAGAGTACAAGAGGTTAAAGCTTACAAAGAAACAAAGAAAACTTGAAGGTGATATTGCAGTCAACTGAGTTTTCAAGCGAGTCAAAGAGGGATGAAAATTTGTGTAACCCGTATTTATGACTCAGTGGGGTCCGCTAACAAAGTTAACCATGGATTAGAACCCAGGTTAAAAAAAACATGTGGTTAAGAAGCACAGCCACATAGTCAAGATTTTTTTTATTATCTACAGTCATCACTACTCATTATCACTACCACACACCCACCCACCCCACACCGCAACTCTCTTCTTCCTTTCCATAATCTCTCCATTGAGATTCTCTACCCACATAGAGAGAGATTATTTTTTTCCCCTCAAAAACCCTAGCCCTAACTGTGTTCATCAAAATTTAAATTTCGTTAAATTCCTTTGATGTTTCAAACATGGATTTAAGCAATTCGACTGCAACAGCCACTGTCAAGACACCAGAAGCTGAGAATGAGACGCCCACTCGGATCCAGACCACAAATTCAAAGCCTTTGTCTTTCACCAACGGCTTGTTGAAGAGGCACGCGCCGCTGCAGCTTTATCAAGGGAATTTCAACAACCACCATCCGGTTGTTGTGAACTACAAAGAATGTCTGAAGAATCACGCCGCGAGTTTGGGTGGCCACGCTGTGGATGGTTGTGGAGAGTTCATGCCGTCCCCTACTGCGAATCCATCTGAGCCTACTTCGCTAAAATGCGCCGCGTGTGGATGTCACCGGAATTTCCACCGCCGCGAACCGGAAGATCCACTTCCACCTAACGCCACACCTGCTCTTGACTACCAGCCGCACCATCGTCACCATCCTCCACCCCCGCCGCCGGCGAATCTCGGGAACAGCAGCAGCCCAAATTCGCCTTCCCCACCGCCGATCTCTTCATCTTACTACCCCTCAGCACCCCACATGCTGTTGGCTCTTAGCCATGGCCCATCCGGTCCACCGCCTGACAGCAACACACCAATTTCCACTACTCCCAACTCCACTTCCGCACCTCTGTCTTCAAATCCCAATGGCAGGAAGCGTTTCAGAACAAGGTTCACACAAGATCAAAAGGAAAAAATGCTCCAGTTCGCCGAGAGAGTTGGGTGGAAAATGCAGAAAAGAGATGAAGATTCTATTACAGAATTCTGCAGTGAAATTGGTGTCGACAAAGGGGTATTCAAAGTGTGGATGCATAACAACAAGACCACTTTTGGCAAAAGAGATCAGCACTTATCTAACAGTGTCATCTCTCCCACTGCTCCACCCACCAACAATGGCAACGGTAATGGTATCGCCCATGGTACTATAGGCAGTAGAAATAACACGTTCGATACCACCAACGCCAATGTCGACCCTACCACTGCCATCGCCGCTGCTACTTCCGTCCAATATCACCACCACGACCAGGAAAACAACAATGACAGCAAAATTAACATCCGTGGTCAAGATTTGAGTCAGCACCACCTTCATGATAACAGTGGCAACAGTCCTCATGTTCTTGGTACTAATGGGTCTTCTTCTTCTTCATAAAAACTTTTGATGGATTATGGATTTAATAAGTGTTAGCCGACAGGGAAAAAAAAAAAAGAATCTGGGTTCTTTAGTCTCTTCTTCTTCTACTACTTATTAGGCTTTTAATCTTGTTTAATTAGTTATTAATATCGTTGGAATGATGAAGATTCTGAGGATGTTAATGGAGAAATTATTAATTTCTTGTTTCATCAATTGCTATTCGCATGCATAAATCTTCTGTTTGTTAAAGAAACAGAGATGGTGGGCTGTCTGAAATTCAGGAGCAAAAAGTAATGGTGTTACTTAAATAGGGGCGGTTACAGAAAAATATTTTAATCAATCTTCTACCCATTACAAATCTTCTTTATCTGAGCTGAGGAGATAGCTACGGACTTTTATGAATTTTTAATTATTCTTATCTTAATTGTCCAGCTTCTGCTTTAAGTATCGTTAATCTTTATTTAAGTGGATGCTAATGGATAGGTTATTTCCAAGTATATTTTGAGCACGACTAACCTAAGATTTGATTAGTTTATCTCAGATTAACATAATGGATAGATTCATTTCTAGATTAAGGGCATGTTTTGGCATTGTTTCCGTTTTGTATTCTTGTGGAAGAACTTCTCCAATAAGCTAATTAAGTCTTTAACTTTCTCTAGAATTTCTTTTAATTAGACAAAATATTTAAAGAAATTATTTAAACATGTTCAAGAACAGTTCAATTTTTGACTTTCTATAAATCTTGTCTAAGGGGTCCCAAGTTCACACCAAACCTTTTAGGTACGAAATCCAAGATTAATAAAGGAAGTTAGAAAGAACCTATTTGGTGCACGCTTAATGTGGCATTAAACTTTAATTAAAGTACATGTGTATGTTCTTTCTAGCCTTTTTTATTAATCTAGGATGTTGTACCCTATAAGATGTTTGGTGGGCTTAATTTAGAAATGGAGCTATCAATTAGGTTAATCTAAGATGACATATTTGCTAAGTAAACTAATCAAACATTAGATTAGTATTTTCTTGAAATATTACTTGCCTTTTAAGGGAAGCAATGCTGATAATTATTGAAACTGATTAAACATGTAGTTGTATCTTGTCCTTAAACCTCTTTTTCCTTGGGTTTCTTGAAGAATTAATATCATGCTTGAATAAACTTAAAAATAATAAATTTCAGTTGCTTATAAGTGATTTTCTAAGCATAACAAAAACCGTGGGTCATTGGGTCTTGTTTTTTTGAAGGGTACATGCCATCTAGCCAAAGCATGGGTCAGTGAGTCCTTTCATTAATGCAAGAGTGGGTAATAAGCCTAGCTGGATTATTTAGATTGATTTATTCCATCATTAACTCATATACATATTGTCCGCTTTAAAATAATAAATGTTATATTCTCTCTCACGGAACTCTTTTGTGTTTCCCAAAATTTAAATCCCTAACTTTTGCTTTATAAAATTTAATGTCAGGATTCAATTTAAATTTTTCATAAAACAAGATCTTTAATTTGAATCTTATAAAATGCGATAGAAATTTGTGAGGGATAAAGTGCGTACGCACTTTCATAGCAGTAAGTGTATATGATATGACAATTTGGATGCAAAGGTCAGATCTTTATAAATATGGTGACCTTACCACAATCATAATTATTGCAATTCTTTAGTTGTCTCTGGTCCTAAGCAAACACATGAATACCCTAAAGCTAAGGTGTTGTTTTGGAATAGTAGCGGTAGGTTAATGTCGGGAAGGTTGTAGCATAGTGCTTTGAATTGATATGTAACCTGCCATTATTATTTGTAACTATTTCTCATGGAAATTAAAGCGAATGAAAGTAACGGAGAACAAAAATATGCTAGAAATTCTAGGAGATAATGTTTTTATGATTCCCGAAAGTAAAAGATAATACAAGGAGTTGTTTGTATTCATGAGGGGATGGCATAATCATCAAAGTCCCCTTCACCTTAAGGAATAATATTATCATTTCACAAAAGAGAGAAAAAAAATATTTTAAGACAATCTCTTTTTTTGTTGTGCATATTCGTTTTTTATTTAGTAATATCTGATTCTTTTTATCAAACACGTTATTAATTTCTTAATCCTAATATCGACAATTTGGCTCCAGAACGTGAAAATGGACGGGAGTAACGTAATGACTTATTCTCTATTTGCTTTTCTTATTCAAGGCACCTTGTTTTAATAAATTAAAAAAAAAAAAGGACACATTATGAACAATATAATCGACTTTTTCTTCCATTTAATGAGATTTATTCTTAAACATTCGTAAGTTTTAAATAATAATTATTTAAAATATGTACATAAAAATTGGGTTAATAGTTTCATAACCTATAAAAATAATTAGAAGGGAAAGTAAAAATTGGGAATTGGAAGAAGGCAAAAAGGACCACCTAATCGTTATGAGAATAAAGGACACTGCACCTAATAAATTAAAAAAAAAAAGGACACATTATGAACAATATAATCGACTTTTTCTTCCATTTAATGAGATTTATTCTTAAACATTCGTAAGTTTTAAATAATAATTATTTAAAATATGTACATAAAAATTGGGTTAATAGTTTCATAACCTATAAAAATAATTAGAAGGGAAAGTAAAAATTGGGAATTGGAAGAAGGCAAAAAGGACCACCTAATCGTTATGAGAATAAAGGACCCCCCCCCCTTTTTTTTTTTTTTTTAAGTGGTCCCGAATTAGAACGACATTAATATTTTGCAATTTTTAACATATTGACCACGATTTCTTCATCCCAGGCCAGGAGGAGGGTAGGGCAGTAGGATGACTATGGTCCCAGATCCCCACTGAAATTTTATTTATTTATTTATTATTATTCTTCTTGTTGTTGTTGTTGTTGTTGTTGTTGTTTATATGACTTTTTTTGGTAGTATTATATTTTGTACATGAAAAGAGAATTTCATAGTTAATTATATCCCCGCTAAATCTAAGTCCTTTCTCGTCTACGCCATTGCCCCCACATCCACCTTGTTATTATAAATGTTTGCATAATTCAAATTTAAATGACATTAAATAGTTGTATCCAAGAAGAGATAACATATAATATCAATAGTATATAATAAACTGATATTTCAAATTGTATTGGGAAAGTGTAAAGAAATCAATGAAAGTAATAATTTTATCCCTTTTACGAAGAAAATCGATCATTGAAGCCCTTTAAAGTTCATGGCATAGAGGTACCATAAAAGAAAAATGAAAAAAGGCAAGAAATTAATTTCGTAATCGATTAGTTAACCTGTTGTCGAGAGAAAAAAAAAGTATGCAACAACAACTTGGGGACAATTTGCTTGCTTCGACTATGCCCTCAAAGCTTTATATTTGATTCTTGAAATATTTAACTTCCTTGCTCTTATCCTTTAAAAAAGAAAAAAAATTAGTTAGCATTTGCATTGACATAATTTAGACCATGACATATCACACATGAGAATCTACAAGTTTCACTTTTAAAATCGCATATGAAAAGTCCACCTTCACAGAATTTGACTCGTGATTAAGACACTTGCTCCTTCAAAAAAATGAATAATTTCACTATATAGCCATTGATTATATCTAATATGACGTATTATGCTTGTAATCCTTAAATTTTTTCATCGAATATTCCTCCTTTAGACCATTTTCACTATTTAACTTTAAATTATGTCATTTTCCTCTCAAACTTTAGGATTAATTTCTACATTGCCTTATAGCGGCTATTCAAATCGATTGATTACGACGTGTCAACTTTAAATAGTTTTTCATTGATGTCGTGGTTCAAAGATTAACGTTAGTTCGTGCCATTAGTCCTCCCTTCATAAATTATAGGCATGTCGGCCCGCACTTAAGTCCTTATTTTTACACTGCATGTCTAGCGACTTTGGTGGGGGTTTGGATATAAACATGAGCAGTTTTCCACTATTAATATACTGTAACTCAAGATTGCTGGATCAAAATTATGACGTTTCAACTGCCCTTGAGAATAAAACAGAATGTTATTTACCAACACTTTCTCGGTTGACCCTATCGCACAGAGGTTGTCTAGTGCGGTTTACCTGGTTAACATGATTTGCAGGTTATTGTTTCGGCCCGAGAGTTTACTTAGTGCGCACCCGTATAGTGGCGGCTGCGACTTCCCCCGTCATTAAAAAAAGAAATTTTTTTTTTTTTTTTTTTTTTGAGGTAAATGATTTTTATGAGAATGGATGATGAAAATATAGGAAAAAAGTTTTGAGTTTATGAATAGAATGTGTTGTTGTGAGAATATAGTTGAAAATGAGTTTAAAAAAAAAAAAAATTTGTAAAAATGGTTGTCAAACAGGGATATAATTTCCAAAAATATAAGCTCCTGTTTGGGATTCACTACAGTGAAATTTTAGGAGAAAATGTATTTTAAAATAGTGATTTTTTGAAATTCTATTTGTAATATTATTTTATGTGAGAATATATTGTTGAAAATGAATTTTGAAAAAATGGAGCCGACCAAGAGTCTATATCTATACGTATTAATGGGAAACAAAATTTTTGGCTCAACATTTCGGCCAATCGTTAGTCCGATGATTGTTACTTACAAAATAAAATTTGGGTTCGTATGGTGGGATTATTATTAATGATGTCTCGTGGCATGTCGGGACAGAGTCTGGTGTGATACATTCAACTAGTCTTCATAACATAAACAGAAAGATTTATCATGCAACGTCTTCATCTAAGCCCATTCACATGATGAATATTGCTTCCATTCTCTTTGCTTGTCCATAAATATTACAATTTTTTTCCATTATGACTTATATGCTTGAATTTTCACATGTCAAGTTGTAAAAGTATCAAGTTTGGTCGAAGAATACAAACATGTTTTTAAATTTTCGCATGTCAAGCTGTAAAAGTATCAAGTTTGGTCGAAGAAAACGAACGTGAGATGTTATGGAGGTCGAATGAGCACCATCTCAATCTCCTTATCATTTTCTTCTCTTCCACTTTGATCAATACGAATTCATAATTCTTTATTCCTTTCAAGAATTCTGTTAGGAGTTTCGAGAGGTGAAAACTAGTACACAAGAATTCCTTAAAATATTTTATTTTTAAAATATAATTAAATATGGTGGAAATGTGTTGGTATGTAGGACCACTAAGGTTTTGAAAACACAAGGATGAGAAATTGTGATATGGTGCTATCTACTGACGGATGATGTCTACAAGTCACATGATATCTGCAGCCTTATTAATTATTCATTACCCTTCTAATTAGCTTATGGGTTACGACTTACCACACTTACTTGCCACCAATAAATAATTATTATGCTTGACGTCTAGCCTTTAGGTCAATTTGTTTGGCGTTTCACATCATTCGATAATACAGGTTGTGTAGATAATATTTTAATTTGGGAGAAAAATTTAATAGAATTTCGGTATATTTAGAAATCATATTAATGATTGTATTTAGGATCCGTTTGGTATGACTTTTGAAAAGTTAAAAGTTGCTTCCGAGATGAGAAGTCTCCTTTGAACATATTTAGATAATTTTTTTAAATGTTTATCTGGTTAGAGGAGCGATCAAAAGAAGTTGATTAAAAGTAGCTTTTTCGAAAAATTCTTGTACAAGTAAAAATAAAGATAAAAGCAAAAACCCTGCCAAACGAACCTTAAATTGCTGGTGTGAGGGAGCCGTGATAGAAATTACCAAGTCCAACTCTATTATCTAATAGGCCCAAACTATACAAAATTTAGAACTTTGTAAGGCTCACAGTCCAGCATCGCATTATAAATCTAGGAAATTTGTATATAGATTGCAACTCGTAAAGCCCAGGCCCAATACATTAACTCCTCTGGCGTTTCCTTTGGGTCACGATAATGACCCAGAAAGCTTTACAACATGTTTGGAACATTGTCCTTACAGCCTTCCAAAAATATAATTTTATGTAAAATCATGGAAATGATTTCTTACTCATGGTGGGTAGGATAGATATATTTCCATGTAAGCCTATAATTTTTGATAATTCAACGTTGAATTGTCAAAAATTGTAAGTCCACATCCGTAGTGGGCAGATTAATTCCTACCTACCGTAAGTAAAGATCATTTTTGTGTAAAATAAATAAATTTGTCCAATATGTGACGCACATCCTAATCGGTATAGATACTCGATTGAATTGGCAGTACAACACACAAAAGTTTAACTTATGTTTTTCTCCATAATTTTATTTGATTTGTCTAAGTCATCAAACAAAATGTTGTTTCAGGGTTTCCACCATTTGATTTATACTTGATATGGGGAAGTGGAATACACAACTAAGAGCTCATTTGGCATGTTCGGCTTCTTATACAATAATTTTTGAAAAGTTAAAAAAAATTTAAATAAAAATTTTTAAAAATATAAAAAAAAAAAAAAAAAAAAAGGAGAAGAAAAAAATGAAAAACTCTTCTAATAAGATAACCCACTTCAAGATAATTATTAAAATATATTCAAAAGCAAATTTTTAGTCTCAACATTATCATTTAACATTACAAAAATCATTCCAAACAATCCTAAATCATATCACTACCTTATAATAAATCTGACGCTTATAACCATTACCTTATCCATTCTCTTTGTTTTTAATTTTAAACCACTCTTTCTTTTATACATACATATTTATAAAATCTTTCTGCACAGAAAATATGAAATAGCGACTCCATAGATTTGACCTTTACCTGAACAAAATGAACATATACCTAAAAGGGTTCTTCTTTCCATACTCAATACCTAACATGAGAGCACATGATAATATAGGAAGCATGGTTTTGGCGCACCAAAAACTTGTTTGTTCTGCCTTTCTTCTTTCTAGATTACCCGAAGGAGTTCACACATGCCAACAAGTCGTTCGACCAGCCCTCGGTAACATTACTTGAAGTTGGTACATATAGTACTCAACAAGATTGGTAGTACAATAAACGAGATTACAGCTTCTTTTTGTTTAGTCGAGTACCAAACATGCCACCACTCTAGTGATTAGCGAACTTTAAGAAAGATAATCAATGAATAAAGGTAATTAATTAAGTTAGGCCTTTTCTTTTTCTGTTGTCTTCTTTAATTCCTTGGGTTCCTTTCCTTTCCAGTGATTTCCTTAGAAGACAGACTGGAAACAGCTAGTAAAAATATTTCAAACTTATATAATAAATGTTATTTACTTCTGTTTCGAATTATACAGATACATTGATAAAATGCAATATTTAATGATTCATATTACTTTAAAGAAATTGATTATGCCATTAATCCGTTTGGATTAAGGAATTTCATGCAAGTTTAATTCCTGAAGAATGCAAAACCATACTGCATATCGTTTTAAGGTAACAAAATCATCATAGGACTTGCGGTAGTTCGTCTAAGATAGGACGACAATTAACTTAACTTGATCACACACTCATTCACTCAAAACAGACACGAACATGGACACACAAACACGATGATAATTAATCTACGATTTATTTGTAGAAGAACAGTCACAGACTATTTCATTTTGTACCTCCCTGCGGTGGAAGTTCCGGTGGCAACCACAGGCGGCGCAGGTGAGTGCATCGTCAGTTCCTTCCTCTCCGCAAGGCATGAATTCTCTGCAGCCGTCCACGGCGTACCCTCCAACGCTCGCTGCGTGATTCTTTTGACACTCTGCGTATCTCACAGTCCTAACTGATAACGATGAATTCACTGAATTGCTCGAAGAGTCATTCCTCTTCAGCACAACTTGACGTTTTTTCATCTCTTTGTTTCACTCTCTTTCGATCGGGGATACTTTTGAAGAATTTACAGTGCAGAATTTCAAATTTACAGATAAGGAGATGAAGAGAAAAGAGGCAGAAGGTAGAGGGAAGGCTTTGTCATTTTTGGTGCCGAGAAAAACCCTAACCCTAGATTGCACATATATACAACTAGCCACAATAATGGTTGATTTGCCTAGCCCCATTTGCCCCATTTTTTCAAATTAAAATGGGTGGAATAATATTTTTTTTGAAAAATGAGTGATTGAAAAATAAAGAAATTTTCGATTAATGTGTAATATTACTTTATGGAAAATTACATAATTGAAAATAGGAAAGAGAAAAATGAAACTTAGTTTAATGAGGACCAAACGAGGGCTAAATTTTATTTCTTGTGTCCCTTCAACTATTGAAGAACTTGAATTCTAGACCTTTATACACTTTGATAATATGCAACCTTAAATTATTCAAAAGTAGTTTCTAGAAGTTCGGTAAAATTCAAACAACAGAGAAAAAACGATTAACATGACTCTTGTGTAAAGATAACGAGAAATAGTCCCTAAATTATTAGAGGGAACTTTACATTTGGACTAGTTGGTTTCATTTGTATAGAATGACCAGCTGATTATTTCCTACAAAACCTAATATTTTTATGTGACCCTAAATTAAGGTCCAGTTTGAGCCGCATTCTTTCGAAAAAATACAATATTAAACAGTGATTTGATATCATTTCAATCGCATATTTTTCAATAAAATAATATTACACACAAATTCAAAATTTTTTCTCATTTTTTAATCACACATACTCCATCAATCTACTGTACATTCTTTCAAAATAATGTGGTTCAAACACGCACTAAGAGTCTGTTTGGTAGGGGCTTTGCTTATTGTAGAAGAACTTATTATTGAAGATATTTTAGATCAATGTTCTTTAAAATTTATTCTAATAAGATAAAACATTTAAAGAAAATTATTCAAATATATTCAAAAACAGTTTTTAACTTTTCAAAAGAAAGCCAAATGGGTCCTAATTAAGCTAAAGTGCTATAGTATGATTAATTAGGGGGGTTGAACATGGATACGATAATTGAACCTTCCAAAACTGTGTGGACAAACCTTTTCTGATCTCTTTGTTTGTTTATTTGCATGCAACTAGTTTTACCTTATGTCATTACAAAGATATTGATGGCTTTTCACTTTCACACACACATCACCACTTATAAGATCAAAAATAATAATTCATTTTTAAAAATAATAAATTAACAATTAATTAGTGTAAACAATCTTAATTTCATGTTTTACATCTTGATTTCTCCACTAGGATTATTTCTAAATTCAAAATAAGTGTAGAATTCCCTTGAAAAAAGGTGTAATCTTGATTTGATTAACTTCTTGTGCTTCTTAAATAAAATTTAAATTAATTAGTAATTATATAAAATACCTCGCCCCTAATTTAATTTTTTCTAAAATCTCAAAATTTGATTTAATAATCAATAAAATTCGATTATTATCCATAGAGCCTAACTTAAATGTCGAAGAAATATTCCATGTAAAAGGGGAATATAAATTAGGCAATTGGTTTGGTAATTTGGTGACGTGGCCAGACTTTTTGTATATTTGTATAAATGCCTTTTTGCTTTTTGCTTCTTATGCTTACGCTGTCCAATAATTTGATTAAAATGGTGTGACCCGCGGCCCGTCCGTCCATCACCTCTTACCAAACTCAAAGTTGCTATCACTAATTACTAACTTGTGTCATATATACCATAAAGGCAGATCCTTAGAACATGCTAGGCAGTGACTAAGTTCAGGAATAATGCTTTTGAAAATGGATCTCTTTCGAGGTTAGTTTGACTAGAAAAAATTGAGAATCGAGTAAGAAATTGATCGATTTAGAGCTTTAAAACCGTACATTGAAGATGTTCATAAGTTGTCCAAACGTGCTATGAATCGTCCACAGGTTGACATGGTCTTTCAATTGCATTTCTTTTCTTATGAAAAAAGGAATTTTCATTTTGTTAAGAAGGGATTGTGATGCAGTCCAATATATATCCTTGGCACATGGATAGTTATGGTATTTTATTTTATTGTGATATTAGAATCAACTAGTTAATATTGAACGTTGCATGTTATTTTGTAATATTTTATAAGTATAGTAAAATTAATATTTGACCCTCCATTCACCATTTTGATCTAAATATGAGAGAAATGCAAGCATTTGAAAATAAAAGGCTAATTATTATATAAGCAAGTAAATAGTAAAATGCACTTAAATGTGGGTATTAGAATTACAACTAAATGCATAAATGAAAATGAATGACAAATACAATACATAAATTAACGTGAATGTTTGTTAATTTAAAATTAATACCAATGAATATATACGTGACAATGAATGTTAAATAATTTATATTAAATGAATGTAATTTAAATTTCAATTAAATGAAAATGGACGTTAATTAACATACATGGACGTAAATAATGAACTGCACTCTTGAATGTAAAATTCTAATGTGAATATTAATTAATTGAGAATTAATAATAGGGACAAGGATGTGAATTTGAATGTGAAATACTAATTAATACTAATTAAATGAATGTGAATGTTAATTAATTCAAAATTGATTATAGGGAATATATGCATGAACAAGAATTTTGTAGTGTTTATTATAGTTTGTAAATTAAATACATATTGAAAAACGAAAAGTTAGGCATTATTGAAATAATTGAATTGTAATGGGATTATAATCGTGAAAAAAATGATTCTTACTTGATGTGATATTTAATATATTATAGATTATGACTTAATATATACTTTCTCCGTCTCATTTATATAGGTTATTTTTGTTTTTCACACGGATTAAGAAATCTTATTTAATATTATTGAAAAAAACAAAATTTGCCATAAAATTTTATTGTTTACCTTTATTTATATTTATACAATTTCAAGACTAAGTAGAGAAAATTGGTCTGGACAAATAAAATAAGTGTATATTAGTAAACTAACAAAACAAAATATTCTCAATAAAGAAACAAAACCATATAATTGTTGATGATCATTACTATATTTTTTATTGAAAAATGTTTATAATCAATTTAAATTATAAACGTTTAAAAATGAGAGATGCATAAGTTAATAGAACTTATTATTTCTCAAAATGTATGAATAAAAAAATTATATGTGAAACATTACAAGAAAACGTGTTTAGCTTAGAAAAAATGGAAATCTTAAATTACTGGATTAATATTATAAAATAAATAAAATAGAATGAAAAAAAATCTTCGCTAGTCATAAGTGAATGAAGAATTGTCAGTGATTGCATATGATACCAGGGACGAAATTATCTTTGACGAATCTTTATTAGTGATCATTAATAATATTGCAATCGATACTTTCGAAACCACCGATTGATATTTTTTTCATTAGTAACTATCTATAATTTTGTCTATGATCATTTTTTTTTTAAAAATTTAATCTATCTTATTTCTCCAACATAATTATGTTTGTTGCCTCTCTCGTCTGCCTCAGCCTTTTTTTTTTTTTCCTACAAGAAAAATGTTCAAAGGCCATTATCATAACTTTATATCATTATAGTTAGTTTCAATTAAAATAAATCAAGTTTTTAAACACGTAATGCTTAAATAATGTTTTTTGGTGATACAAAATAAATAAGACTTTAATTATATATAAAAGGAATATTTTAAATTTTTTCCGAAGAATATATACTCCCTATTTAATAGATTTTAAACTATAAATTTTAATTTAAGTTAAAGTCAATAGTTAATTTTCACCACATATTTTATGGGGGATCCACAACTTTTTAAATCACGCATTATATCAAATTTTATTAAAATCTGTTAAAAATGTTATTTTAGTTTCCACCAAACAGGAGCTTAGTATTGTCTAAATTTAGCTTATCGTGCAAGTCACGAGATTAATCAAGCAATCAAGTGAAATCAAGAAGTTAGTGAAGACTAACGAGGGGTTGATCGAGACATAAAGGCACGGATTACTGTGCTTTGAGGAAGATAATGAAAGATGAAGCACTTGTGCTTCTTACCAACCCGACCCATCTTTTTCATGATTAATAAATATTGGGACCATTACTAGAGCATCTTAGGCTTCTAACCAAGCTTTTATTTCCCTGTTTTAATTTGTGGAGATAATGTGCATTAATAATCCCCATAACAAGGTGACAAATTATTGTCTTAATTATGGAAATTAGTATATGGAAATGCTCATTTTAAAGAGGAAAGTTGATGTTGATTGAAGAAACGAATGATTAGAAATCTTATCTTGAATACTGAAGGCTTATATGGTACCACGTACAAACATTGAATAAGTTTCGTCAGAATAGTGTTAAGAAATAAGAGCCCATTACGTTGGATAATTATGTATAGAGATGTAAAAAATGGTTTGATTATATCATAAGCAATCGAGCAACTTAAAAGACAACACTATCCATTTTATGCTTCTTCAATATGAGAGTAAAAAATAAGATAAATTTTATATTGTAATCGCATGTTAGGTAATGCTAATACAACAAATTTATGAGTGTTCTTCTAGTATAATCCAATATCTGTCACTTAAATTTTAATAAAATAAACTTAATTCACATAGTTTTCCTATCGAAACATTCATATAAAGTAGAACAATTCATTACGTATATTAAAAGAAAGATACGCGCGCCCTAGCTCATCTATTGATATTAGGGCCCTTGACTTCGTTGAAAGAAGAACTACGGATGGTATTTCAACAAATAATGAACACCTCAAGTCATAAGTAGGAAAATGTTATACTTGTCTATTTTTCATTGATGGGTGGATGAGAGAGAGGAGATAAAATAGAAAGAAAGAAGAGAATTACTCGAAAAATAAAAATCTATTCCCCTTAAAAAAAAAATTTCTTGTTTTCAAAGAAAATATGGTCATGTGACCAAAAGTAGGAAAGTATTTTCCATAAAAAAAAATATATCAATCAAACAGTATAAAAGTAAAAATTTGGGTGAAAAATAACTTTTTTCGTGGAAAAATATTGAAAATCAAATGCAACCTTAGAGTGAGTTTGATTGACTTTATTTTCTACGAGAAATGTCATTTTTCACATAATTTTTTTTTACTTTTGTAGTGTTTGATTGACGATATTTTCAAAAAAAATAATT